GAGAGAGAGAGAGAGAGAGAGAGAGAGAGAGAGAGAAAAGGGGGCGGGGACAATATATTCCCTTTGAGGCCATGCCCCCAGTGACCTACTTCCTTCAGTGAGGCCCTACCTCCCAATATCAGCGCCAGCTGGGGACCAAGCCTTCAACACATAGCTCTGGGGGACATGGAAGGGCCAAACTGTAAATATGGGTATCAAATTGCTATGGTATTTTGATTCTATTGGACATATTTATTATTTCATTTGTTTAAAGTTTTTTTCTGGGGATACATTCCACCTTTCATTTCCATTTGAAGTTTCATCTCCACATCACATATCCATACACCAATTTCCTTTTTTATTGACTTCCACTTAAGCTTAAAAGCATAATTTGTTAGATAAGAACTGTAAACAAAGATGACACATAACACACAGGAAAAGCTTTTAACAAATTTTTTGCCCCCAACGTGTTTTTTATTTTTCAATTATAAAAACACATACCATTCTAGTAATTACACCCACACTGCTTCAAAAATTACCCACGATTTCTGACACCATTCCTTTTAGGGGCTACATTAGACAATTTCAACCATAGCTTTTACTAAGCAAGATGAGTAAAGCTGGTTTTCTGCTTTTCCTTCTTGAGATTTTTTTTTTTTTATTTTTCAGAAAAACACATCTCCACTGCAGGCTTTCATCTTGTAAACTTGAACTCTATTTTAAGTCTGCCAGGTTCCTGTTTTAATGACAGTGCCTTAACAAGAAAATAAAAAATTGTCCTGTGTTCCCCTCAATTACCTGAAAACACAGCGACTGTACATATAATAAATACATTTTTACAAATGTCCAGGTCATGTTTACCCATGGAATTCTTTTGCTTGGTGTGTAGGTATGTTGCGTGGTGATATTTAGTTAAGACATTAGTATGAGTCAAAGGTTGTTGATTCAAGACAATTTTGAGATTCACTAAAATTAAATATCGTATGTTTGTTCTTCTGGTGGCCTTGGAAGTTTCGTATTTTCTTTGGAACATCATTGGATGTCTTAGCTTTTTTTCTTTCTTTTCTTTTTTTTTACTTTTTTATTTCGTTTTTGATCCTGGGGCTGGAAGCCAGGCCCCTCATGCATGCTATTCATGCATTTGACCACGGAGCTACATCTGCAGCCCCACATCTTAGCTCTTGAAGCGAGACGTTTATGCTCTGTGATTTTTGCCATTTTGCTACTGCAGGTAAGCTCTGTACATCCACCATCCCTCTAGAATTATCCACCCCATTGATATGAATTTCTGCCACAAATCTAACTGATGGAGGAGTTTCTGGGTGGGTAGTTGTACCTTCTACTCTCAGATCACACATGCTACTTTCATGATTCGTCTTCCTTTCCTTTCTATCTGGAATGTTCTTCGTCCCCATCATCACTTTCTGAAATCCTACCAGTTAGTCCCTTAAGGTTCATTCCAAGGCAGCTTCCCCCACTGTTCAGCCCTCCTCAATTACTTCAGCTTTGATGGCCCCCAAATCAGACCTGTCCACCTTGCAAGCACCACATCTTCATTATCTTCTTGGAGGCCCCAGCTCATGGCACCATCACTTACACCTTTTGTTCAATTTCTTCCCACAAGTGAGAATGACAAGGAACATAAACTTCCAAAGGGACTGCTGTCTTCTCCTGTAGCCTGCCTCCTGTTTAAAAGAGAGTCCCATTGTAGAGCGTCAAAATCTACATCACACTGAAAATCACATCCTTTGCAACCATTGAAACGATGAGATAAGAATTTAGAGGTCAATTACAAATGTAAACCTGAGTTTTTAAAAGTTTCTTATTTGATGCAAGAACAAAATAATTTGATAACTACTATTGTCTATCTCTGGATGTTCTCCCACTTTGTTTCACAGACTGGCCGCTGCCAATTTCTCCCTTGGCCAGATTGATGTAAAAAGGGTCCCTTAATCTTGTAAGGAACCCACATTTCAGGTCCCACCATGGTCTCCAAAAGATCGAGCAGTAGAGGACCACAGTGCCCATCAGAGGGGCTTCCTCCTTGCTTTCAAGTCCACTATTCTATCACAGTCGTTTCCATGCTATCTCCACCTGTGACTCCTCTTAACTGCTGTCAGAAAGCCTTCTCTAGCGTCCTGTAGGGGTGAAGAGAGCTTCCCCTCCCTGCCCTTTGCAGGTTTGATAATTTGGCATCTGAACAACTGACAGATAATTGAGAGAAGACAATGACATAGGATTTATTATTTATTACTGTACATGGGGGCATCACCCGAGGGGAAAGGGAACATCCCCAATCCTAGTGTAACCTAAAGGTTTATGTAACCTCTCTATAAGAGACAGGAGAGGAAGATGCAGGCAACGTAGGGAGAGGGAGTTATCATGAAAAGAGGAATGAGCTCTCAGGTGGAATGGGCTCTGCATAGGATGAGAGATTCTACTCTCTTCCACCTATGGTGTATTGCTCATCCTTGATGGGATAGATAAGAATTTTGGGGAGCATTTTTATAACACTTGGATTGTAGGTGGAGGATCTGCTTTTGATCAGGCAGAGGACATTCAGGAAGAGGCCCTCTTCTGCATCTGCAGTTCCCTTCAGCCTGAAATAACCAACATACCACTTTGCATATTTTGGGATTGTACTTCCTGAATCCCTTCAATCCCTTACTTTTTTTTTTTTTTGGTACTGGTGATTGAACTCAGGGGTACTCAACCACTGAGCCACATCCCCAGCACTATTTTGTATTTTATTTAGAGACAGGGTCTCACTGAGTTGCTTATTAGCACCTTGATTTTGCTGAGGCTGGCTTTGAACTTGTGATCCTCCTGCCTCAGCCTCCCAAGCCGCTGGGATTACAGGCGTGTGCCACCGCACCAGGCCAAAATTACTTTTTCCCTCCTCCTCCCTTCTTTCTTCAGTACTGGACATTAAACCCAGGCTGAGCTGATTTAGCTGGTTTCTTTTACAGACCATGGCAACCTCCCTCCACAACACAAGTGCCTGAAGCAGTTTCTCAAACAGCAGAAACACTGATATATAGGGTCAGATAATTGTTTGCTGTCGGTGGGTGGCTGTGCTACCTCCCAGAACAAATGTGTTCACACAGTGCCAAATGTGTGTGCTGGGTGGGGGCAAAACGTGGAGAACTACTAGAAACACTTGGACATGCAGGTGTGACCCAGGTGACCGTCCCCAGAGATGACGGAAGACTCTGTATAAATAAACTCCGACGCGATTCACAAAGCGTTTTCTTTTTACTTCTCCAAATCGGCAAGCCGTCAATCCTTGTGAGGGAAAACGGTAGAGACAGAACAGGAGAATTTGTAGGATTGGGGAATACATCCGCGACCAGGCGGAACCCTTTCCCCAACCCTCCCGCGCCGCGCGACGCCTTCGTTCGCAGTGCACTCTGGGGCTTGTAGTTCCGGAAGGCGCGCGAAGCCCGGACAGCGGGCGACTTAGTCTAGACGCTGCGCACCGCGGTTCCGGGAAGCTGAGGAGGGTTAAAGCGTCCTTTCCCCGCCTCTTAATCCTTCCGATTGACAATCAGGAAAGCCAATGAGTGACCTGTTTGATTCTTCCTATTATCTGATTGGCTTCGAGTTTTTCAACCTTCCGGAAAAACTCGCCGCGGATTGGCTGACGCTTCAGTTTTGAAAATCGTAGATTTCGCCCGCGCAGCGCCGCCCGGTTGCTCCTCCGGTGCGGAGAGCCTACGAGGCCGGGGTCCGGGAGGATCTGGGAGGCGGGGGCTTACTTAGGGAGACCGCGGAACTTGGATCGGAGCAACCCTTTAGAGACTCGGTGCAGTCAAGTGAGTGAGCGCGGGCAGCGGGCGGGGTTGGGGGGGGAGGTTAGCGACTTGTTCCCCCGCTTCGTGACCCCCTCACCCCTGCCCTTTGCAACGTAGAAACGTAGGGGTCCCTTCTTCTAAGTGGCGAGATCACACACACCTCCCACCCCCCTTAAACGCCTAGGGTCCGAGAGAATAACCCCGTCCCCTCCCCACCCGGGTGCCTAGCACCGCGCTGTGTGCCAAGGACTTGGCTTTTGATTGGCTTGGGCCCCCAGGAAGCCCCAAAGCGGCCGGGCCGTCTGGAGGGACGGTGCCCGAGGACGTTTCGGTTCTGTTAAATCCCTAGCTGGGCATGCTGCGCCCCAGCTGAGTAGCATTTTAAACCGGCCACTCGCACAGGCCAACGCTGCGGCTTATTCTGTCACCCCCCAAGCGCGTTCGCTGTCAAGCGCGGTTCCCTTCAGCTGCGGGCTGCTGGTGAGGGTGCCTGGAGCCGAGACTAGGCGTCCAGCTTTCCCAGGCCGCTGTCCCGGAGGCCTCCAGCTAGTGGGTAAGAGCACAGTTTAAACCCAGGCTCCGCCCCTTACTGACTGGGCTTCTTTGACTTCTTTTTCCTGTTACCTTAGCTGCACATGGGTGTCCTGGAGATTGGGGTGAGAATCAAAAGTGATTCTGCCTGGTCCTGGCATGGAGTACCACTCCGTAATCGGGGCAGCCCTTGTAACAACCTGCACGGAGGTGTGGTGGAGAGGTGTCCACCTCCTGTATTCCCCAAAGAGGAGGGCCGTGGGGTGGGGGGCTCTCGCCTGGTGTACGGTGTGGAAAAAGTGTTTGTGGAGAGGAAGAAAATCTCCCTCCTCAATGGGCGCTCAGGGTCTGTTCATAGGTTCTTAACCTGAAGATGGGGGTTTTGCTGCTCTTCCAGGAGGCTGATGGCACTCCTTCCTTTTCTCTCAGGGTCCCCTCTGTTCTAACTTATGGTGATGTTTTTTAGGTGTTTGTTTGTTTTAAAATATTTATTTTTTAGTTTTTGGCGGACACAACATCTTTGTTTGTATGTGGTGCTGAGGATCGAACCCGGTCCGCACGCATGCCAGGCGAGCGCGCTACCGCTTGAGCCACATCCCCAGCACCAAATGGTGATGTTTTTTTTAAATAGTTAATTTAAAGTCTGCTAAAACCACATTTACCCTAAGAAGTTCAAATGGTATTTGAACTTAGCAAAAGAATCACTCATCCTCTTTGTCAGTTTAAACAAATACTTTAAAAAGTTGTCCAGTTGTTGCTCCCTTTAGTTCCTCTACAAACCACTTTGCTGGCCTTGGACCAGAATCTGGGCTGTGCCCTGGGTGCAGAAGTGCTGGGGGTAGGAGAGGGTTGGCAGTGGAAAGGAGATGCCCATGTCTAGCTGACTGCGGATGAGGGCTTTGCCCAGAACCTGTGTGTTTCTGCCTGTTTGGCCCTACCCAGTTAATGCTGCCCTTGGCATTTGGGAGCAGGAGCTTTGGATGTGTACTGGCTTGCCCTAACCTGTACCTTGAGTTGTTCAGTTAGTGTCACTGTCTGTTGTGATGGTGGAGAGGGGTTCCTATGAGATTGATGGATGGATGGATGGATGGATTAATTCATTCAACAAATGGCAGGTGCTGTGCAGGGCTCTGGGCTTTCAGTGATGAGTGAGACAGACAAGGGCCTGTCTTCTGGGAGCAGAGACAGGCAGTTAAACACACCCAGTGGTGTGCATGGGATTGAATCAATGGATGGGTTTGTGGCTGGGATTGTTTGAGATTGATGGTTAGGTCCTCACTGAGGATCTGAGATCCAAGTGGTAGAAAATGGGTGAGAATGTTCCAGATGGAGGGCAGAGCTCCTTTGAAGAACAAAGGCTAGTGTTAAGCTCCAGAAGGATCAAGGGGTCAGCAATCTGGCCTTACTCCCAGACCTTCCATCCTAAGTGGTAGGTTGAGCTGTGCATGGCTCTTCTTGGTTTTGAAGGTAAAATCAGGGTGTCACTCATGACATGAGGTGTGCAGTCTGTTATTATGGCTTATGGCCATCACCACACTTTTGTTCTTTCATTCACTTAACAGTTGGGGTATTTATTGAACTCCTCGATTGACTGTAATAGAATACTTCATCTTAGCTTGGGACTTCTGTGATGATTCTCTTACCAAGTTATAAGGAAGATATCTAAGCTTCTAGTTTTTTAAGAAAGTAAGGAAAAAAGCCCACCTCATTTGTGTTTTCCCTTTTCTAATATTTGGAGACAAGTTTTCTCAAAAGCAAGGGATTCCTTGTCTTTACCTCTCATGTTCCTTTATCCATTTATTGGGCATTTCAGCTCTAGGGAGAAGGTTGTGGGATCCTTCGGAGACCATACCCTTGGACTCCTACTTTCTTACCAACTTCTTAAGAGGCAGTTGCATTTGATGTCTGATGGCCTAGAGCCCGGGGTCAGCTCATGTGCAGCCCAGGGTGGCTGTGTCCTAAGCCCTTACATTAACTCACCCACAAGTGCTAGGATGAAAGGTGGCAGGAGAGTAAGAGCAGGACTGTGGTTGGGCAGGGAGAGGGGTGCTGGGGTGCCTGCTTTCTTCCTGATCCAAGAAGGCAGGTGGCAGTGCCTGTCATCTTAAGCGTAAAAAAGGTGATTTGTAACATTCGTAATAGAATTGGATGGGAAGTATGGACTTACTGGGACAGCCTTTCCCTGAGTGTATATTTTAGGACAGGGAGGTGCTTGGACTGCTTGAGGGCAAGGGTCCTTCTTTATGTACAAATGAAACCACTGGACTTGTGTTTGGAATTCTGCATCTGGAGAGGGGCCCTGCTTTGGGCACTGGGTGTCTTATGGTGATTTAGGGGTGGGGTTTGTGGCCTGGCAACTCTTTTCTGCTGAACAAAGTACTGGTCTCTAACTCTGAACCTTTCTGTCTCTTGTCCGTGCCTTCACCAGAAAGAGCCACCATGGGGACCACTGCCCCAGGACCCATTCACCTGCTGGAGCTATGTGACCAGAAGCTCATAGACTTTGTCTGCAACATGGACAATAAGGACTTGGTGTGGCTCAAGGAGATCGAGGAGGAGGCGGAGCGCATGTTCATAAGGTGAAAGCAGGGGTGCTGTGCGGTGTGGGCACCAGGGGCTGCTTGGGATGCTCTGGCTTTGGACACATAGCAGGTTCACTTCCTACCTGACAGCTAAGCAGACAGCTCTTTCCCGAGGGCCCAGTGTGCTGGGGCCTGACCCAGTGTAATGGGCAGGAGAGGGAGAGGTTGTCTTTGCCTGGCTCACTGTACTTGGTGGGGCCTCTCAAGGTGAGGGGCTGGGAGGACTCACCTGGGAACTTGCTTCCCTGTCATGTGTCCTGGAGGAAGCTCTGAGTGCCTGGCAGGTGATTCACACAGGGCCTTGGAGAGCTTTCTTGGTGCTGGCAACCCCAGCTTTACCTGTCACTGCTGGGAAATGGGAGGAGGGCAGATCAATGAAAGGAGGACCTGGCTTCTGCTAGGAAGTCTCAAGTGTCATTGTCCTTGTACCAAACAGAGAATTCAGCAAAGAACCAGAGCTGATGCCCAAAACTCCTTCTCAGAAGAACCGACGGAAGAAGAGACAGGTTTCTTGTGTTCAGGATGAAAACAGAGACCCAATCAGGAAGAGGTAGGAGTGCCAGGGCCAAGTGTGCTGGGTAGGTGGTCTCTGCTGAGGCTCGGTGCCCTCTGGGAAGGTGTTGGAGGGGCAGCTACCTGCAGCAGTGCTGGTGGGTGAAGCATTAACCAAGCGTTAACTAGGCAGTGAAGCAATAACCAAGACCAAGAAATTCAGAGAGTGTGTGAGTGCAGATGCCTGTGTATATGTTAGGGGTGGGGGAGGGGAAGGATTCCTAGTTTGGGAGAACCAGTCTGTATTGGGTTAGAGTGACCAGAGGTATGGACCAGATGACTGGTCCAGCCCTCTTGTTGCTGGGCATGTTATAAGTCCTCACAGAAATGGTGACTGCAAAGTATTGGAGTGAAGTCACTGGGTCTTAGAGTCAGGCAGTCTGGATGTAAACACCAGTGCTGTGCCTTATTAGCTGTACGTACGTCTCTGGGTTTCTCTGATCCTGTTTCCTCATCCCCCAAAGTGGGTATGATGGTGCTGCCTTCCCCGGGGCCATCTTGCAGCTTGAGATCATGTGTGAAGTTCATAGCAGGGTGCTAGACAGTGTGACCTCAGTCAGAGAGAAGTTTATAGTAATTTAATCTTCCCAGCAGTTCTGTGAGGACTGGACATTGCATCTAGCTTATAGTTAGAGAGACTGAGCAGCCAGGGTCTCATGGCTAGAGGTGGCAGAGCATGCCCTGACACCCCAATCTTTTGCCTCCAATCCTCTGATTTTCACTCCAGCTGAGCTGGTGGCTTCTGGAGAGATTGGTCTGTACTAGCTTGAGCTTTTTGAGGGGTGCCCATTGCCCTGTTGAGCTATCTCAGCCCCTGCTTTTCTGTCCCCAGCAGATTATCCCGCAGAAAGACTCGGAGCAGCCAGCTGAGTTCTCGGCACATCTGTAGCAAGGATAAGGTGGAGAAGCTGGCTACAGTGATGGGGAAGAATGGCTCTCCTGTGCTACAGCGGGTGACCCGAGCTGCAGCCGCCGCAGCTGCAGCCGCTGCAGCCGCAGCCGCTGCTGCAGCCTCCTCCACAGCATCGGCTGAATCTTCACCTATCCCCGAGCTTCCCAGCATGCTGACCGAGAAGCCCATGGTGGTGATAGGCCTTACTGAGCGCCGGAGTGCTGAACAGTGCCTCACTCAGTGCATGGCTGCCTCAGCTCTGTCACAGGTTCCATCCCCAGCTCCCACTCCAGCTGCACCTTCGGCTTCCCAGGGCATCCCGACATCGGATGTTGAATCAACACCTAAGAAGTTAGAGGCCGGAAGACTGGAGTCTGTCACAGTGAGCTCTTTGATGGCTACGCCCCAGGACACCAAGAGTCGAGGGGTTGGGACTGGACGGTCTGTGTCCAAGCTCAAGATTGCGCAGGCTTCCCCAGGTCTGTGGGACTCACACAGCTCTCCAGACTCTCCATGGAAGGAGCGGGTGCTGGCCCCCATCCTGCCAGAGAACTTCTCCACCCCCACGGGCTCCCGTGCAGTCCCTCAGTCAGTGCGTCGCAGCCTGATTGCCCTGTCCTCCCCGGATGCCCAAGTCTTACTCACCCAAAAGTATTCCCTGGTGTCCAGACAGGAAGGCACCAGCCGCAGATCAAGCAAAAAGATCAAGAAGGCTGCCAAGGAGCCAGCTGCCTCTGCCCGCATCATCTGTGAGTGTGGGGGGTGGTGTGAACTGGTCCCTGGTCCCTGATTCAGCTGAGTGTTTCTGAGGGACCACCTAGCAGAGAACTTTCTGAACAACTTTCTGTGATGCTGTGACTGTTCTGTATCTGTGCTGTTCTGCATGGTAGCTGCCAGTTAGCCACATCTGGCTGTTGATCACTCAACATATGGCTAGACTGGTTGAGGAGCTAAGTTTAAATTTTATTACATTTTTGTTTGATTTAGATTGAAATGGCTACACATAGCTAGTGGCTGCCATGTTGGATGATAAAGGTCTAATCCAACCATTATTTTATTGATGAGGAAACTGAAGCATAGAGAGGTTGGCCCCAGAGTCCCTGTGTTTCATGGCCACGTTGAAGTTGGAACCTTTGAGGAGGGTCTTCTCAGAGCCAGTGTGTTCCTCCCCTTCCCTGTCCTGCAGAGACTGACTTAGATGCAGCATGCTAGAATGCCACCTCCTATTGGTGAAATCTTGTTTAGTTTGGAATGTGGATTCTCACTGCCCCAGGCTCATTCTGGAGCAGATGACTAAGTATCTGTTGAGAGGAGTAGGAGGACCAGGTTGACTCTGGAGCTAGAGTTCTGGGTTTGGGTGACAGCTGGGCCATTTACCTACCCTACAGCCTTGAGTAGGTATGTAAATGTCTTTGGGGGCCTGGTTTCTTCATCTGTGACCTGGGGTAATAGCATCACCTTACAGGGGCATCATGAGCTTTTCTTCATTATTGCACCTAGGGTGTTTAGAATCATGCCTGGCACAGGAAGGACTCCATGGCATTAGCTGCTTTTATTATCATCAGATCTCAGTGAAGGGGACCAGTACCCTAAGTGTTATGAGCCACAGAAGGGAGGTAGGCATCTCTGTGAGTCAGGGCTGCATGATGGGGGCGGGTCTGAGTTGGGAGGGTTTTGAAGGATGGCTGGGCTTTGGCTAGATGGGAAAAATGTGGGGATAGGCATCCCTAAAGGGAACAGTTTGAACAAAGACCTTGAGGGTCAGAGCAATAAGTGATAGGGTGTCTGGGCTCATGTGCCATCTGAGGAGCTTGGGCATAGCCCCACTGGAGCAGAGGAAGTAGCCCATGATAGTTGTTAGAAGATTCCTAGCACCTTGTGAAAAATGGCCAAGAGGGCTGGGCACAATGGCACATGCCTGAAATCGCAGATTCTTATAAGGCTGAGACAGAAGCCATCCTGGGTAACTTACCAAGTCCTTTTTTTCAAAATAAAAAATGAAAAGGACTGATGAGGTAGCTCACTGGTACAATGCTTAGGTAGCATGTGTGAGTCCCTGGGTTCAATCCCCAGCATTATGGGGAAAAAAAAGGCCAAGAGGAAGGAGGGAGGGAGTCAGGGAGCTGGAGGCTGCTGCAGGGCAGACTAGAGGTTGGTCTGGACAGTGAGGTTGATAGAGAGGATGGGCCATGTTTTATATTAGTGGGTGGTACAAAGTAACTGGCATTTGCCTGGAACTTATAAAATTTGCAAAAGAAAAGGTTATCTCCTTTGGTCTGTGAACAGCACTGTTTGCTTATTAGGATTTCCTTTCTTCAACAGAGGAGGAGACAGGCTTTGGAGGTCATGGTGTCTATTAATTGGGAAGCTGGGGCTTGAGTCCTACTAGTTTTTTTTTTTTATTGATCAAAACATTACAGAGCTCATGATATATCATCTTTCATACATT